CTATCAAGCAATCAATAACAATGTCACAAAAGAATGTTTGTCAAGATGGAGGTGGGGTGTCACCTGTAAGGATTCTGTATAAAAAAATGTAAACAATCCTACACTAGGTGAGGAAAGCTCCCACCATCCTAAAACCTCACTCTGTGGATATTTAATGTTTCCCAGACTAAAACGAACGTGAGTTTAGAAACTGGTGTGCAAGGATTGTTGTGTGTGTGTGTGTGTGTGTGTGTGTGTGTGTGTGTGTGTGTGTGTTTGCGCGAGTGCACGTGCGAGCGCGCTCTATTTTTTATTTCTAAAAACAAATCTCCCCATACGTCCATTTCCAAATACTGCTCAAGAGTCAGTACCACTCACCGCAAGTAATACTGTTTTAAAGCAAAGGCAGCGTTAGAACAACTTCTGGGAAAGTTGAACTCTTCAACAATTTCTCCCCACTGATTCTTCTCCGAAACCTGTTAAAGACACAACCAAACTTGGTCTGAACACACACAGTCCAAGAGAGCCCTCCCCTAACCACGAAATAAATACCCATTCTACAGAGATGTGCAGATACCCAGGCATCAGTGGGTGTTTCGGGGTCGACCCTTCCGAGCCCCTAAGCTGAAGGCGGCTTGCACACCGCTGCCCACCCCCTCACCCCCCCCCCCCCCAGAGCCCCGCATTTCACACTGCACAGCACTGGTGTTGCGGGGGGCGGCGGGAGAGGGGGTCTGTTGGGTTTGTTTTGTTTTTGAAGCCCGGACAATAACCAATCGCAAGTCCCGCGGTCGCCCCCTTTTCCATCTCAACGCGGTCCGTGTACACCAAAAAAAAGAAAAAAAGAAAAATAAAGTTCAAAAGGATCAATCGTGCTCCGGACAGCGACGCCCGCGGGGTCCTGGGGGGCCCGGGGCCGGGGCCGAGCCGGCTCCCTCTCCCAGATCTCTCCATCTCCATAGGCCCTTCGCTGAGGCCTACAGCTTCTGCCTTAGCCTTGAAGCCTAAGATGGCTATGTGGAGACAGGTCCCGGTTTCTTTTGTTAGCCGGGGAAACCCGGGGCGACCGGGCCGAGGCCGTGCCCCCGGCCGCCGGGATCGCTCCGCAGCCGATTATCGATGTGAAACCTGCCCGCGCTAATTTTGAGTTGCACGAAAACTGCTCTCAGAGTCTGTGTGAGCCTGTGTCTCCGCCTGTGCCGGAGCGGCGGCGGCGGCGGCGGCAGCGAGAGGCAGAGAGCGCGGGCGGCGGGCGCGGGGCGGGCGCGGGGCTCCGGCGGGCACCCCCCGCGCTCCCCGCCGCGGCGCTCAGACCCCGCGGGCCGGGCCGGCCGGCCGCCGCCCGCCGCGGCCCCGCGCCCGCCCGCCCGCCCGCCGCGCGCACGCCGGCCGCCAACCAGGCCGAAAACAGCCCCGCCGCCGCCGTCCGCCTCCGAGCCGCCGGCTGCGAGCGAACAGGACGCCTCGGGCCCCCCGCGGGCCGCCCCCCACCCCCCGGCCCCGGGCGCCCACCCCGGGGTCAAAGGAGACTTTTCGGAGGAGGCCAGCGGGAGGGAAATACGAATGAAAACTTCCACTCACCTTCGCGAATCCGCCTAAAGTAGTCACTCTGGTGTAGAGACCGTGCAGATCCAGCTCCTTCCCACCCACCGCGGGGATTTTCTTAAAAGGCGACCTGTGGGCGAGAGAGAGAGAGGGAGCCCCCCCGCACTTGTCAGCCGGGACCCCGCGCCCCGGCCGGGAGCCCCCGTCCGTTCGCCCCGGCTCGCCCGGCGCTGCCCCCCCGGTCCTGCTCTCACCCTCGGCTGTGGTGGAACTGCCGCAGCTCGTCCAGGAAAGCCAGTCCCTTTCTCCGCTCGTCCGGAGGCGCCTTCCCCGTCGAGTTTGCCATTATTTTTTCAAAGGAGGTTTTCGAAAAAAAACCAGATCGGTGTTTTAGAAGCGCCCCCCGCTCCCCGCGCTCCCTACCAGAGCCCGGAGCCCATTCCTCGGCCGGCGGCGGCGGGGCGCAGTCATGGGCCGGCGGTGGCGGCGGCGGCGGCGGCGGCGGCGGCGGCGGCGCAGGGAGGGAGGAGGGAGGGGGAGGAGGAGGAGGAGGAGGGGAAGGAGGGAGCGGGAGGCCTGGGGGGACCGGAGGGAAAGGAGGGAGGGGGGATTTCTAAAAAAGTTTAAAGAAATCGGAGCGAAACTAGAGGGGCAGGCGACTGCCGGATCCGCGCGAGGCGGCGGGGCGAGCGCGGCCCCCACCCCTGCCTTCCCTCCCGCCCCGCGGCCCGCTCTCGCCCGCCTCTCAGCGCCGCCGGCTCGGGCGGCTCGGCCTGGGGCCGCGATTCAACATGGTGCTGCTGCCGGGGGCGCGCGGGCGGGCGGGCGAGGGGATGGGCGAGCGGGCGGTGAGGGTCGGGAGGCTGGCGGCCCGGGAGTTTCGGCGGCGGCGGCGGCGGCGGCGGCGGCGGCGGGGCTGGGGCAGGCGGGGCTGGGGGTGGGGAGGGGGAGGTCTGTGTGGTGGTTTGTGAAAAGCGGGGTGACAGCGTGTGTTCCGGCCGCGGCTCCGCGGGGCCCTCGCACACATTCACGCGCAGCCTCGGCCGCCTCGGCCGGGGCGCCCGGAGCGGAAGGCACCAGCGGCGGCAGCCGAGCTGCTCCGCGCCGCCGCCCGCTGCCCTCCCTCCCCGTCAGCCTTCCTCGCCGCCGTTGCCGCCGCCACGGCCCGCAGCTGCGCCACACAGCGCCCCCCGAGGGCCGGCCGCGGCACTGCGCCCGGCTCCGCACCGCCCCGGCAGCTCCTCGCGGGGAACAATAGACTCGGCTGGCCGGGTTTAGGGTTCATCTGCAATGTGCCGCACATTTCACACGCACACAAAGCCGGCGGGAAGGGGGGCGGCGAGGGAAACGGCCACTACCGGCTGCTCCCGGGCGGGGGGCGGAGGCGACGTTGGCTCCCCGGCCAGGCCGCTGGGAAGGCCGCCCGCCAGGAGCCCCCGGCCCGCCCCGCGGCCCGCCCGGCGCTGGGGAGCAGAGCCGGGCGCGGGGGGCAGCTCCGCACTCTCCGCATCAGCCACAGATTGGAATAAAGTCAAGTTGTTACCTCTTTTTTTTTTTTTTAAGGTCTAAAGGAGTCAGCTTTTTTATTATTTTTTTAAGCTTTGTGCTAGTATTTGGGGGGGATGGTTAGCACACATTTTCCCTGAATTACCCACCAACTTGAGCAAACTAGACCTGAAATGCGGTGTGAACGGCCCTGGCTCGGTGGCCGCAGACCCAGGCTCTGGGCTCGGCTCCCCGTATCCACCCCGATGCTGTGCTGAGCTGGTCAGCCGGTAATTAGGCTGGTTGGGGAGCAATCTTTTGAACTTGGACAATAATTAACGTGTCTATTTATATTAAGGAATATGAATGATAAATGCGCTGAAAACAAATATTGAACCGTGCTTTTCCTTGCTTTTTCTCTGGGATGTCTTAAAGGTGATCCCCGTTTAAATACGTTTGAAGGTAAACAAAAACGGGGATGAGGGGGGTGCTACAAGAGCCCCAACATCTCCGCCGATGCTAAGTTTGTATTTATTTACAAGGGTGTTGGACTCGACCCTGGGCTCCCCACGTCCACGAAGCGCCGTCCCCCGCGGGGAAAGGGTCCCCGTCGTCCCCATGCCAGGGACGCGGCCCCTGCGGGCACCGTCACCCGCCGCCCAAGGTCACGGGCCGGGCCGGGGCCGGGCGGGGGGCGCCGGTCCCGGGAGGTGGCTCCGCCGGGAACACGTCCCCGACGCAGGGAGAGATCGTGGGACGAGGCGCGGCCGCCGCCGGCGCTCCCTCTAGGAAACGGGCTTCCTTTCCCAGGGAAAGTTTGTCTCCTCCGCGGGGTCGGGAGGAGGCTGCGGCGAGGAGGTTCCTGACACCCGAGGGCCAGTGGCCGTCCCGCCAGGCGCCGCGCGGAGGGGCGGGGACGCGGCCGAAGGGAGTGGAGCGGGCGGCCGGGGCCGGCGGCGATGGGGGGGTGGGGGGGAGCGGGGTAGGGCGGGAGGGGGCCCGGCCGCCGGTCCCTTCCCCGGGCCGGTCCTCCAGGGGCGGCGGCGCGGGCCGCAGCGCGGCGGGCCTGGCGGTGCGGAGTCCCTGAGCACCGCCCCTTACGTAACCGTCAGCACGGGGATTCCCTGGAGGGGGTCCTTCTCTTCAACCATTACACACACCCGGCCCGGCCGCCGCCGCCGCCTCACAAAATGGCGGCGCCCATGGAGCCGCCGGCGGCCGCCGCCTCGGCCCCATTTTGTGGGAGGCGAGAGATCTGTCAACATGGGAGAGCTCCGCGGAGGATGCGTCTGAGTTTGGGAATCCGCTGAAGGGATGGAGGCGAGGGGGAATCTCGTTCGACGGGAACATGTCAGCGCCTTCCAGAGCCTCTACCAACGCTCTTTTTTATAAAAAAAAATATATATATATATCTTTTTTTTCTCCCATGTTTTCGAAGGAAACGCCAGAAGCCTCCGGGTAATTGTAACTGAGGGGAGAAGGCGAGCTGTGGTGGACTTGTCCGGGGACTCGCCGCGGCGTCTCTGGTGTCTTCTCCCATCGCGCAGGGCCGCCCGGCCGCCGAGGGGACGGACCGGGATCGGGACCGGGAGCGGGCGACGCGGCGGGACTGTTTCGGTGGCTTTTAAGCGCCAGCGTTCGGGTACCCCCTCGTCGGAGTCGGGGGCTCCGGAGGACCCGCTTCGGGAACCGCGCAGCCGGGAGCGGGCCGGGCCGGCTGGTGTGGACGCGGCCGGGGTGCAGCGAGGGCTCCTGCAGGGACCGTTCTGTCCTCCGGTTCGGGGCCCGGGGTGTGTGTGAAGGTCTCAGGTTAGACGATGGGAAGTCTTTGCTAGGAGCTCACTCTGCAGTGGGCAAACCTGACTTGCCTTTCTCCTTCCGAGGGCGGAATGGAGGAGTGACATTTTATTTTATTTTATTTTATTTTAATTTTTCAAGGAGAGGTAACCACTTTTAAGCCACTGGCTGCTTGCTATGAGTGTGTGTGTGTGTGTGTGTGTGTGTGTACACCCACCTGCGTGTACAGGGGTGTGTTTTCCCTTCCAGCACAGGTGCCGAGGCTAAAGACCTGGAGTGTGATGCTAACGTTTTTGAAATTTCTTTGAAGTTTAAGATGTGACATGAATCTGGAGAATTGACGCTGGAAAAAAAAAAATTCCCTTTCTGCAGAAGAAGCTGCCATCTATAAAATGGATTCCTGAAGTATGTCTGAAGGATAGAATTTAAATTCTTAACACTTTGGATATGCTCTCGTCCAAGAAAAAAAATAATAATAATAAAAACCCTGATGATGATCACATCACTATGTGGTTCACCTTCCCCACGACTAGAAAAATGTAAGGCAAAAATAAGCTTAATATTAACGGCATTTGCTTGTAAAAGGAATGGATGTAATAGTTTTAAGGAAAAAAGGAAATTCATTTGATGAAACATTAACTACACGAATAATTGACTTAAGATGTTTTTTTCCGAGTGGAGGCAATCATTTGTACTTTTATATGACTTTTTTTTAATGTCTTATTGATTTTGATGATCATATGTCCTCTCTAATGCAGAACCGTGTGTGTCTGCAGCCTGCGCCTATCACTAAGCTCCATGCCCATCCCCTGCTGCACCCTGGATACTGCTCCATGGGTGTGATTTACCAAGATAGTTTCTGGTCATGTCTATTCCTACTGATGTTCTTCATATTTAATAAATTTGGTTACCACTAATCAGTCTGTATCTCTTAAAAGAATACCTTATCTTGGCACCCAAGTACCCAGCGAATATTTTTGCACTGAAAGTAACCCTAATGGAGAGTATCCCATTTCTCTATAACGTATTGCAGTTCCTGTAGTGGGCAGCATAGAGCAGGTGCATCCTGGGCAAGAAATGTTAAATTTCCCAGTTTTACCATAGATATTCTCTAACTAATGACATAAATAAAATGTACTTCGTAATTTTCAAACATTAATGTAAAAATCCTGTAAAAATTATCAACAACAGTGAAAATTATTGAAACTCAATTTGTATAGCTTACTGTTGTGATGAGAAATGTTGACAAAAGTTTTTTCATGTGGAAAACGCAAACCATTTTTAATATTAATTAGAAGTTTCTGTTATTTTAGATGAATCTCTGATCCTTATCAGTTTTAATATTATCTAACCAAGAAATTATAATGTTTAAAATTTTCTCATTCAAGTAAACTTTAAGAAAAACATGCCAAATTACAAATCAAGCATGTCAAGTATATGATTGCAACAACTGAAAAAAGTTAATTGAGGAATTGGTATGTAAGTTCATTGGAGAAATATTTGGATTTTAGGTTACTATAAAGCTTAAAGGAATTGGTTGGACAAGGCGATTGAACTTAAATTTGTTTCTTTAAAGATGATCTTAAGAAAGATTAGAACACTTCACTTACAGCTCTTAGTGTCTTTACTGCTGTACTCTTAATGTAGGCTAACTTTCTGGATGATTTGCCCCCAAATATTTATATTTAATAAATTTGGTTACCACTAATTTGATAGATATTAGAGGTTATGTTTTGTACGTAAATCCAGTGCAGTTTATTTTTTTAAAAGACTTTAATAAGATTTAATAACTAAAAAATTAAATTTTAGCCAATTATAATAGCCTTTGGAGAGACATTCCCAAATGTGCTTTTGACTGGGAGCTGGTCTAGTCAATTGTTTAGGTCAGTTATCTAACGCTGAATGTTTTAAATTGGTATGAGTTGAAGGTGCTACATTTGTATTTATTTTATCTCTTTTGATCACTGAAAAGAAAAGAAGGCCCCAACTAAAAGTGCTCATTATAGTATAATCACAGTTTATAGTAGATTAATAGATTGTTTATAGTATTTAATAACTTTGAAAAGTAGGATAGCCTGGAATAGGAAACATTTATTTTTATTATTAATTGCTGTATTATTTATTTGTATTACAAATGTAAACTTACTTTTGCCCACCCCTGTATTTATTGAATGCCTACCTTGAGCAAAAGGTGAGGGAGGAGAAATTGAGTTGACTCTTAAGGAAATTATACTCCAGTATTAGATTTTTCTTAACTGCTAGCTTTAAAAGATTATAATGAAATATTCAGACTGTAGGGCTCTTAATTTTTAATACATAAGTAGAATCTTTAACAGTTAAATTCAAAATTGTTTATACTACAAATAAATTTATGTGCAAAACAGCACTACAATAATGTTAAAATGTTAGTGTTATTTGAAATGCTGTAAAAATATTAATAACAGCATTTAAATCACATTGTTTGAAAACTTAGATATACAAAACATCTGTTTTCAATAATTAACTGTTTAATTATGGGAAAGGCAAGGGAATGTTCAGGGACTGTAAAAAAATACACTACTGAGCAAACAGGAATTGTTTTCATGAATTTTGATTTTCTGTTTCAATTTTTTGGTACATTAACTCTTCTGACATTGTGTCTTACTATTTATTTTAAAAAAAACAAACAACCAAAGACACTTTAAGCTTTAAGGAGTTGGCAGTCTTGTTGAGGAAACAATAAAATAAAAATTATCCAAAATGCAAAACTATGTAATAATTAGGTTAGATAAAACTATGTTTACTTTTTTCTTCCTAACTACACAAGTTAGAGTAGTATTGACTTAATAGTAATTTATTTAACTTTTGTTTTTCTCTGAAAAATCAAGTCAGCCAGGGCCAATGTAATTTGTTGAAGCTTATTGCTGTACATTAAGGGAAATTCTAACCAATGGTTCAATGGCAACAATTTTTTTTTTTAAGTGCCATGGCTCTTTGACATAATTTGTAGTACGTAGAAGTAAATTCAAACCAGTCTAGAATAATTTTTTTGTGTGTGATAATGTACATGAAAAATACTAATAAACTGTTTTTAGGGGTACAAAATAACTAAATATTTTGTAGTTAATTACAATGCTTCCAGGTGTTTTAAAGATGAAAAATTTAATAACCAAATTTTACTCTTTTTAGCAATACTAATATTAGTACAGTTAGCCATTAGTGACTATATTGATAGCCTAAATAAATATGACCTCAGGCCCTTCTAATTAATGTCTTACTTTTAACTGCATTTAAAGAGATTTCCTCAAGGCTAATCAGGGGTTAAATGATGATCCTCCTGTTCCTCTGGAAACTGAAAAGAGCTTCCCTCTCTTTAGGGTATGCAGGAATTTGCTCTCTTCCCTATGAACTAAATTTATCCTTTGCATTGCCATTTGCTAATCTCAGTTGTTTTCCTACTCCATTCAAGTTGGGGCCACCATAAATAGTAGTAAGACCCAGACCACACTGTCCTGACTGGACTGGTGCCCTCGGTGGATACTCTCCTTCCTCACCTATCCTGTTCTCAATGACAATTTCTGAAGAGGCTTTTGAAATAATAGTGTTAGTATATTCCCAGCTAAATAAGTCAACTTGTCGGCTATTTATGGTGTTCAAGAAGTTCACTAACTCTGTGAAACAAGATGTGTTTATTGCATTTTTTAGGGAGTTTTATTTGTTAAATACAAGTTTCACGTATCACCTGAGGTGGTGTTTTTTATTTTATGTGTTGGCCTCTAGGCTTGAAACTTTAAGGAATACCACTTGAGTCCATCAAATTGTAAGAATTACAGCAAACAAGCAAAAATCTATGTCTGTTTTTAAGGAACTACAATAGATTTAAAAATAAAGTTTAATTAATTGAATTTAACTATTTTTTCAGTTTTCCCTCTATTGAAAATGTACAGATAAAAGAGATTTAAGTTTATTCAAAATGAATCCCAAATATAATTCTTCAACTAATTGGGAATGCCTAGAGTTTTATGTGAACCTATTACCATTGTGCGCAGAGTTGTGTGTACTTCCTTTTCATGGATGACGATATCAGAATGTTTCTCATGGTGTGTCCAAGACACTGCCATCTCTCTGTTCTCCTTTGGGTTCACTTGCTCTGCTGCTCTTTGCTGCAGTTTCTGATGAATGGACCTAGAAATTGACTCAGACTTTGCTTTTTTATAGATCAGGCGACAGAGCTACTTCATCCCACAGCAGGTTCCTGTAGCTTATTTGTGGGCCCAGTGTATGATAATTGGAACTTAAAGGATACTACATCAGACTGCAGTTCAGAATAGCTTTTTTTTAAGAAAATGCTGACTACTTCCATCCTAAAAATTGCTCAGTGGATATTATTAATACATTAATTATTTCTGTGCCCTTTTTTCAAATGTAGATTCTTATATGCATAATTATTATTATTTAAAATCCACAATGCATTGTTTGAAGGAGGGGGAAAGCTAGCAACTGTTCATGTTTTACTTATATATTAACATTAAAATCAACTGAACCAAAGGGAAAGGGCATATTTGAGAGAAAACATGTGTTTTACTCAGACTCCAATAATTAAGCTGATGCATTTGATATATGTTATACATTGAGCTCACTCTTAAAAGGTAAACATTTCACAACATGCCTCCTGGCTTACAAATTAGTGCTTTTTCTACTTAACATTCTTTCTTTCTTGCTAATAAAATCCAATTTCCAGAATTATAGTTAGTTGCTAAGCACATATGCATAAAACCATAAATTTATCCAAGTCATTTATTATTTAAATAGTATATAAAAATTTAAACAGAAGTCATTGATCAGTGAAATGACAGAAAATAAGGAAAATAAAAATAGAACTATAGTAGAATAAAATAAAAGGCCTTTAGGGAATTATCTGGAAAACAGCTCAGATGAGGTCTGGGTCTTCTTAAGCAATATGTCCAAATTAGAATGTGTAGGAACTCACTTATCACTTCTTAGGGTTTCTTTGCCAATGTGCACTATTTGCTTAGCAACCAAATAACGATAATTATTTGAAATTAATCTTCTAAGGCCACAACTTATATAATATTTATAAATGTCCCTACTACGCCGAAGCCGGTTTGGCTCAGTGGTAGAGCGTCTGTCTGCGGACTGAAAGGTCCCAGGTTCGATTCCGGTCAAGGGCATGTACATTGGTTGCGGGCACATCCCCGGTGGGGGGTGTGCAAGAGGCAGCTGGTCGATGCTTCTCTCTCATCGACGTTTCTAGCTCTCTATCTATCTCCCTTCCTCTCTGTGAAATATCAATAAAATATATTTAAAAAAAAAAAAGTCCCTACTACATGTGGACTGACATTTTTTTTTTGCCTCACAATAATACTTTGTACAATTTCATAACTGATAAGTGTCTTACAAAGAGTGACCAGCCCTTGTAAATAGGTCTTGGCTTTCAGTCTGTTGAAATTTGGCAAATTCTGACATATAGTAGCTTGAATTGGGCCATCATTCTTTAGTAGTGAGAGCACATACCCTTTCTTTGCTAGCTAAGATGAAGTCTGAGCTCTGTGATTTTATAGGTTGTTAGTGCAATAGCTATCCTCAGATACAGAGAAGTTGTCTTATTGTTACTTTATTTCCATAGTTTTTATCTTTCTGAGATTGAGTATAACCTCACTTGGGAATGTTATTTCCCTAAACCATTGTGCTTCACAGATGTGACTATTTCCCCCTGGGAAGTATAGGAAGATATGAAGCCTGGCCAAATGTCTGCCACCAGATAAGAGGTTAAGTTTATTCAAATGAACTCAACAAATGAAAAGAGTGTGTCTTTGCAAGTTACTCTACTTTCCTAAAGTCACGTTATAGTTGGAGGTTTCACCCAGAATCAAAGTGCCAGGTAGCATTTTTTTGTACAGTTCACTTCCCATTAACA